CGTATGTTAAGATCATCATTTGCACACGGACTCCGTATTACTTCACACCACCGGGTTCTTTTATTAGTTTAATATTAATATTTTATTATTATTTTTTTATTTAATTCGTTTTCCATTCCGAGAGAAACATAGGGCTTCAAGCTTCAACTTTGAAGCTTCAGTAGTAGTGATGCTTTCACGGGATAGGGTTGCTAGCCACACCTCTAACCTTCCTTCTTTGTCGAGGTTACAACCGACTAAGAGAGGTAAAGGCGTACGCCTTCCGGGGATCGAACCCGGACCACCGATGGAACCTAATAATAATAATAACAGCTTTATTCTGAACAATGCTCATATAATGTACAGAATTTTCAGCGGATCTTCCAGTAAAAGATTAATCGACAGTAAATCGTGTGTGACACAGTTCCTTCTATCTGACCTGAAGAGCAAACCAATCCATCATGATTTATTTTATTTTTGATTACAGCTTGATTCCACACTGTATTTTTGGTAAAAGTATGGAATTTTCAGCATGGATATCGGTAGCCCAAATTTTGCAGGCCAACCATAGATATCAGGTGTGCGTCGGCGTGGGCTCGAACCCGAGACCATGTGCATGGTCGGCGAGAGTCCTAGCCACTGTGCCACCGACGCACAGACAACATATGAAGTAGGACAGCAGAATGAATTTATACTTAATAAGATGGAGAATTCTAGAGAGTATGAGTGAGTAGTAAAGTAAAATTATGACATAGACAAATCATTAAGTAAATTTATAGACTTAATCGTGAGTTCAACTCAGTAATTAATGGCCAAAATCAAGAATAAGTCCTATAATCCACTCGTAATACAAGAAAGGAACAATAATAACAAGTTTCCAAGAATTAATTGGTGGATGGTGACTAGCAGTGGAATCCAGGATACGCATTTCGTCCTATTTGGGACTCGTAATCTAGATGTACCTGCATTTTTCTGTAAGCGATGATGTTCCCACCGAGGCTCGAACCCAGTCCAATCAATCAACGGGAAAATATCAGATTCAATTTTTCAAGGATTAGTCTGTAGAGATCGTATTTGTTTCAGATTTGAACACGGATAAATATCAGTTAGACAACCATTGAAAACCAGTTGGGAGTACTGGACAGCTGTTTCGTCGTAGTTTGGGATTCATCAGCAGTACGCACCCTCTGGGTATTGAATCCAGGACCTTCCAGTTAGAAGGTAATCATCTCGTATACTATTAAGCCACTGAGACCCGATTCAAGGGTCACCCCATGAATTCCAACTTCTACCACTTCGTGATTTTAGTGCGACTACCGGCGGGAACTCCATCCTCACTGGAGTTTTATGGAGTTCTGGTGAGAGGTCGTGACCAGTGGACTCCATCCAGTCAGGAGTGAGGAAAAATATTTGCCAATGACATTGGCTGGTGACGGTCGCGCTAAAATCACAGATTAGTAGAGAGTAGAGTTCATAGATTAGCCAATGGTGAGTTGGATCCCAGTGGCTAAGTGGTTTACAAGCTTGCCTTGTAACTGGGAGGTCCTAAGTTCGAAACTCGGTGAGTTAGTACTACCGATCGAAAACCAAGGAGTAATGGACAGCCCGCTGTTTCGTCCTAGTTTGGGGCTCATCGGCAGCACTCACTCACTGGGTTTCTAGCCCAGGACCTCCCAGTTGCAAGCCAATCACTTGGACCTGACTAGTCAGTGATAAGCCCATGAATTCTACTTTCTACCAATTCGTGATAAGTTTATCATGACTGGCACCAGCCAGTGTCATCATTTGCGAGTATTCGTCCTCATTTCCAACCGAGTGAACCTCAGTGGTCTAGACTTTCCACTATAACTGCGGGCAACTTTGGCCTGCAACTAGTCACTAGTGAGCATCAGAATATTTTTTTTAAATATGTCTCAGGTTTTGATCTTGGATTGATATCAGTTTGATAACCAACTATCGGACAGCCAGCTGTTTCGTCCTAGTTTGGAGCCCATTGTCAGTACAGCTGTTTAGTACTCTCTGTTGGCTTTCAATGGCTCTCTAAATGATATCAGTCCGTGCTCGAAACGTGAAACAAATCGAATCCTTACAAACAAACTCTTGATAACTAGGTGTGTTTTGTTATATGATGATGAACTGTTGTGTTGTGTATATTGAGTGGTTGAGAGATATACAAAAAGGTAAAGAGAAACAAGCAGTTAAATGAAGAAAACACCTAAATGTTGTCATTGACCACACCCATCACGTGCATGAAAATTGATTTTTTCTTCTGACGCATAAAATAAAGTATGACTAACCAGTGTAAATTTGACATAAATCGTGTTAGTCTAAAAAAACCTACCTATTGAAAGCCAAAAATGGATGCAAAACACTAATCAGAGAGCTGTTTCATCTAAATACGGACACTTCAGTTGGATGGGAAGGGGGGGGGAGCACTGATGACTTCACAAGACATTGGTTATCGAAAAGCAAGGAGTCCACTCTTCAAGATTTTGCTGATCTATAGACTTCTTCTAACCTTTGTCTGTACAAAAGTCCTGCATCATTTACAAATCGTATATTACCTCGGAAAGTTAAGTCAGTAAATAACCAATTAAATTGGTTGTTGAAGGTTAAGCTTCTAGGTTGTCCAATCGTATGATGGTAAATATTCTACATCGATCCAGTGGTTCAACTTATCCAAACTGATTTAAGCACTATTTAACTAGTATAAGCCTCTTTAAGCTGCTTTTCGCGACTGCCTATCAAAAAGTATTTTTTTTCCCTTAAATATCATCGAAAATAAAATTTTAAATCTCACTCCATAACCGTTTGTATTTGTTGATGTGCCAGATATATTGTAGTATACGTCGAGGAGATCATTAAGGAAATAGTATATTAAAATGAAATGCACTGAAATTTCGGATTCAAACCATGGATTGACATCAGTCAGAGAATCAGTGAAAACCGGGGAGTATCGTTTCATATTTGATCTAAGAATCACCGATTAACTGTATCTGATCCCAATTAGGAAAAACACATTCTTCAAGTACTAAAAAAACAAATCGTAACCTCTAACGTTAGTCAAAAGTGGACAAATGTACAGACTTCCGCATATGACCACTTTAACGTGCATATATATCAGTTCACCTGCTCGTGAGGATCTAGGTACATAGATCATTCTATGCGGGTCCTATCAAAACGTGTTAGAGAACATTACCCAGAATGGCTGCAAAGAGGAGGCGCTGGTTTAATCAGGAGCGACATAATTGAACACCTCGTCAACACTTGTCATATCTCCTTAACTGACTCATCCATAATTCAGAGTCATTTAGAAAATAAACAAAAATCTACCAAAGGCAATGTATTTCCGAATTCTTTGTACTGCAGAAGCCTTCGCTATAAGCATCTAAAAACCGGAGCTCTGTGTTCAAAAGTAACTGGCTCAAGCTCTAGATTCACCACGGATTTAGTTCGGTTTGTCTCCTTCTGTGCCATTTTTTTCAGTCTTAAAATATTATTCTTTCAACTTGTTCCCATGCTCATCCCATTCACACCTTTAGTCAATAAAAAAACCTATTTCCCAATCCCGCATAGCCTTGTTTCCAAGCCACTTGTAAACAATGTTTACACCTTCAAACTTTCATATCAAGTTAAAATTCAAATTATTTCTCCAGTTTTCAAGTATTGGTTTTGTAGGAATTTTGTTTGATTGGTTGTAGGATTTCATCATGAGCTGACATCAGTTAGGGAACCATTGGAAAACCTTCAGAGAGTACTGGGCCGCTGTTTCTTCACCATTGTTTGGGACTCTCCAGCAGTAAGCACCCACCACAGGGGTTCGAACCTAGGACCTTCTGGTTATTAGGCTAGTTTGTACTCAATTAAGCCGCTTGGACCAAATCCAATGACCCATGAAACCTAACTTCTGCTAACTGCATTTATTAAATATTAATTTTACATACACTGCAACTGTTGTCTAGTCCTGTGGAATCGTGTCTCTAAAGCCCTTGTTGTCTATATTCACACCTTCAAACTTTCATATCAAGTTGAAAATTATTATGACCCTTAATCACCTTCGTTACTGTGTGGAATTAAATAAATAATAATTGTATCTAATGCAGACTTATGTCTATAAATGCGATTGTACAGCTGTCTGTGAGAATAAAATCGCCAAAAAGATATATATATATATCCACTATTCATGGATAGTTCAAAATTATAATAAACCGATTATTTTAATGATATATGTGTAAAACTTGGGCACTGCGGTGGTAAGTAATTCCATATTAGTTTGTCTATTAGATCTTTCACACAGTGAAACAGTATTATTTACTGGATGACAATGTTTCGAACAAAATTTGTTGTGGTTTATGATCATATCAATTGCAATCACACGACTTTGAAACTTGAGTTTTATAGTTTTCTCTGTCTTCTCCTATTTGCCCTATGGGTAGTAGAATTTTCCAGATATCTGAGACAGGTGTTGAATCACTCATATTACATGTATTTGCAGTTGATTCGATAAGCACAAAGCTTCTGTTATTAATCTCTCCCTCCACTCTGTGACATTACATTTTAAAACTGTCATCCTATCCCATCCTATTGTATGATTGTGTGTGACTGCATGTAATGTTATGGCTGAACTATTCTCTAGATTTCTTATCTTATTTGGGTCAACCAACCTAGATTTACCTAGGTTTTTATGTTCGGCTAGCCTGACTGCCTTTGTCCTACTAGTTTGACCTGACAGTCATCTCAGACAGGGTACTAGATAAACTAGATTGTTTTGTTTTAAAGGCTTCACTAGCAGGATCCTTTAACCGACAAAGCAAGTTTCTAATTAAGTTTGTGGGTTTGAATGTCTTGTTAAGAATTCTCCGGTATAAGGTTTCCGAGTTTCCTTTCTTGCATGGAATGACTACTGATGATTTAGATTCCTTATTGTTGGTGTTGTCTTGCACATGTTTGACATGCATGTAGTCGTGAATGTGCTTTGATGATAATTTTTTTTAAGAAAATCGGTATCTGTATCAACTTACTACAATCTCATCATCACGCATACTGGCGTGTTCTTTAACTGTCTGTAAGGTATGTGGATTTCTTGGTGGTCTTGGTGGAGGTTTCGCTTCATCTGAGGTAAATTTGAACTGAGAACCTTGATTTAATGATCTTCCATTTGCATATTTTATATTTTTGTCATAAGCATCATTCATTCTTAAATTTTCATTGATAGGATACGTATTGAAATAGTTGTCATCTGAAAACGAAATAAAATATTTTGGTATCATAGTGAATGGTGTTCATTGTATAAGATTTACATTAATACATGCTCACTAATGACTGTCAACAGAATGAAGTTGCTCGACATTTTAATGGGAAATTATGGCCAGTGATGTCTATGGATGCATGGACCAGCCACCAGGTTTCATCCCAGTGGTCTAATGGTCAACATATTCGCCCGGTAACCTGAAGCTCTTAGGTTCTACACCTGGTGGTGGGGTAATACGTGCGTACTGATGAAAAGTCCCGAACTGGGACCAAATATCTGCCTGACACTCTCTGGTTTGCAGTGATTCTTTAACGGAATTCGTTTACTGATGAAATAAATTAACATCGGCTAGTGTACTATTGGAAATGTTTGAACACTACTCAACTGTTTTTTCTTCATTTGGTACTTTTCATCGCTATGTACTCTCGTGGAATGCAGGATAGTTAGGACTTAGGATGACGACATGGAATGCAGAATACGTGTCTTGACTCTTTTTTGACTTTACTTCGGCTATCTCCTACGGGAGGATGAGCCGGCTTCATGAACCATGAAGTTTCATGGGAATTGGGTACGAGTGATGTCCCCAGCATCACTCGGCTTTTGTTTGAGAGTGCAGCTCCAGCCTTTACACAACCAAGTGTGACCTACAAGGCAGTAGGAGTAGAGTAGGGAGTCCACTATTCATTGGCAGCCGGTGACCGGAGTCCGGTTCATTCGCCTTTTTGAATGGGGCCAGATATGCACCAGGGCATCCAATAAGCCCTTTGTCCATACGTCTGCCGGTGAGCTCCGGTGAGCTTCATACGCCAGTCGTTGGAGGTTTGGAATCAGGGTTTAGCCATCTCCCCTAGACTGTCATCCAATGGACAGTCAACCCGGTGAAGAGCGCCGGGCATCCGCTTTTGCCCTCTCACTTTGGTGAAAAACACCTCCGCCACGTAAAGGCAGTGAGTAGGACTTCCTCAGGAGAGGCTATGTAAGACGCCCTGTCATATGGGAGCATTTCAAGAATACGTGTCCCGTTCTGTTTATAACTCATCAATTGTAACTGCTTGCATTTCATTTAAATTCGAGTCGAACAGTTATCAAATGAAACACGTAAACGATATTGAAAGAGGCCTCTCAGTCAGGCTATAAATAATGATAATAAAATGAAAATCTAAACCACAGAACGATTTGAACCGACAGTCTCTGGATTGTTAGCCTGGCGCTGTCTCAAATGAGCTACTATAACCGGCTGATAATCACGTTATCGTTTTCAGGCCAATCAACTTCAAGTGGCGCAATATTCTCACATTTAACCCACTGGGTAAATTTATGAGGGACAGATTGTCCAGTGAATAATGTGACGGCGCTTAAAAAAGGCACACAAGAGTAAAGACATGCAAAGTAATGGAGCTAGAATGGATGAAGATGTACGTCACAGAGAGAATCATGAGATAAGGATTAGTGGAACTTTACAGAACCTAAATAACAACAAAGATTCAATAAGTCTCCGCAACTGTAAACTATTTTTAGCTATATCACGAAGATTTCCGAACGATTCATTTTCAAAACGTGCCAAAAGACACCAACCACGCAATTGATACTACCGGGAACAAGTCAGACTAATAGTCAACAACTTCATTGATTAATATCAGGTTTTTTAAGCCTGACCACAAACATCTTGATTTCTCATAACTCAGTCCATGATAATGGCTTATAACTCAATAAAACATTATATGCATTCAGAGAAAATCAAATCGAGAAGCTTTTCCAATTAATGGAGTATGGTGTGTGAGGGGAGTCACACACACACACACACACAACAGCACGGAATAATAGTTAGGGAAACACCATGAATTAGCAGATGTTAATGTGCATGAATTTGGACTCCCTGTTTGAATGATAACTCAATTATTGTACACCTAACATGTCTAAGCTCCAATTCACGTGAGCGCGTGGAATCATGGTTAAAACAGCCATTCAGCATTCTATTTTCTCCCTTCTTATCAAAATGATTTCAAACTGGTGATGAAAAACAAAACATCAATGAAATTATTCAGCTCTCGTCGAATTCTCCAACTTAGCACCCTTAACCTATTTCATATAAAAGAAAAGGCGTTCAGAGAGGAGTTACTTTTTCCGGTGATGCCGTTCTCAAGCTGTACAGTCGCATACATATATATCGTAAATTGTCCTATGAATAAAAAGAATATTTCCAAGAATGTGTCATTAAATTGTAAATTTTAGATAACAAATTTCGTTAGTCAGTTAGATAAGATAAGATAAGCTTTATTCCAAATCAGTACTTGTGATACAGAATGGAATTCTCAGCATTTTACTACAATATTGCATCCAGTTAGTACATTAACAATAAATATAGTTCTACATAGATTAAGGTTATCTCAGTCATTATAGATAAGATTTTTATTTTGATAAATCGCACAGTGTTTACAGTTATATGAACTGATGACGTTTCGAGCACAATTTATTGCTCATAATCATATCTCAGTCAGTTTTGACAACAACATATTAGCATGTCGGTAGTAAAGCCAAAATTTAAACAGAGTGTTTGAAGGTGTTAGAAAAGTAGATACTACTAGCATATTTCCTGACGTAAGCGATAGCAAAATGGTCGAGGTATACAGAGTGTGAAAGAACGAACAAGAATGTTTTAAGTAGAGTATGCAAGGAAAAGGGAAACAAAACAACACATTACAAAAAAAGGTATAGAGAAAACGTTGTACCTGTAAATGATGTGACTTGGAAAGACGAGATCCATTTGTTCTACTGACTATTTAATAAGTTAAAGGTTTCACGCCTAATGCTTTCTTTATCGCACAGAACACGAGCTAGGTAGGGTATGGATGAGTTTTTGTACTTGCTAGTGCGGGCATATAGTTTCCTATATAAGCTTCTGGTTTTCCCTGAAGAGATACATGGGGAGAATTGTGAATGTAGGGGTGTTGTGAGTCAGATAAAATGGTTTTTGCCCATTTTTCACATGAGTCCATGTGCCTGTCCACCAGAATATTAACGAGCTGGCTAAGTGGCAAACTGCTTACCCTGCTGACAACCTTTAACATCCTACGTAATAAGGTATAGTCTTTCTTCAATAGCCCAGGAAAGACTAAGGGGGAACAATAGAGAATAATAGGCAGAATACGGAAGTTAACAAATTGTAGGAGTAAGGGTTGGGTTACACCAGAAAGTCTTAACTTCTTGATGTAGAAGGTAAGACGGAATATTTTCTTGGAAATCGTCAAGATATGAGACGACTAGGAAAGATCAGAAGATAGAGTGACGCCTAGGTATTCAACTTCCGACTTGGTTTCAATTTCAGTGCCATCTATGTTGCACATCTCGTGAGTCCTAACCAGTTTGTTTAGATACTAAAATTAGATTAAATAAGCAGGTTGAGTTCCATTATGGGTGTAAATTTTGTTTTGATAAAGTCTCACAGTGTTGTACAGTAATGTTTCCTGATGACTAGTCTTTATACTAACATTCCAATCGATATGGACTTAGAAGTAGTTAAAGAAGAAATAAACTGCAGATCACTTATAGAACGAAGCTACCTATTGAAGAAATTATTTTAGGAATTCACTTGTGCCTCACATCTACTATCTTTAAATTCAAAAGCAAAATATATAGACAAACTGAAGGTGTAGCAATGGGATGGATCACCAATATCCCCTATCATAGCAGATATATTTGTGGACAGCTTGAAGAATATGGCTCTTAATACGTTTAATCCTACTCCAAAAATATGGTGGAGATATGTGGATGACACTTTCACAGTGTTAAAAACAGAACATATATCTCTCTAGCATCTTGATACATATAAACTCACTAGTAGAGGGAATAAAATTCACAGTTGAAGCGGAAAATGAACGAGGAAAATTAGCTATGTTGGATTGTAAAATAAAGCGAATAGAAGAAGGTAAACTGCACACTAGTGTGTACAGAAAACCAACTCATTCTAATAGATATTTAGACTTTAATTCATCTCATCCGTTAACTGTTAAGGCACGCTTAGTGAAGTGTCTAACAAACCAAGCAGTAGCACTAAGTAGCACAAAAAAGACCTAAATGATGAAATAAAACATATAGAAGAGGCGTTGGTGTCAAATAATTATCCTATAAAATCCATGAGGAAGATCGAAAACGGCCAAAAGAAAAAGAAAAATAATTGTGAAACTAGCAATGATAACATAAATAAGAGAGAATATAAGTCATCTACAGTTACACTATATAAAGAGGGGACATCTGAGACCCTACGTATGATTCTAAATAAAGCGGGAATTAGGGTGGCATTTAAACCTGCAAACTCACTCAGGTTGGACAAGCTCTGTAGGTTAAAGGACCCGGTGGACCCAATTAAACAAAATAATATAATTTATAAAATACCTCGAGATTACTGTGAGTTAAGTCAACTACATAGGTCAAACTTGTAGATCAGGAGCAGTGAGATTATCAGAACATAAGAGTTTAGCTAAGGTTAGAATGGTTGACCCCGAGAAGATAAGTAATTGAGAAAAAAGCTCAGCACTACATTGCACTGCACTGCACACACAACCACACAATAGGGTGGATGGGAGAGGGTTAAAATTCTAAAAAGTAATCTAGGTAGGTGGGGAGAGAGGTTGATTACTGAATCCTTGTTCATCGAGTCTACACCCAACAAATGCAATAGAAATGATGCATCACTCATACCCGGAATATGGAAAATACTACTACCAATCAGATCAAGTGAAAAATAATGGAACTATGTAAATGAAGTCAGGAAGTCGTGTGATTATGATTGAGTGGCAATAAATTGTGCTCGAAACGTCACGTCACTGTATAACACTGTGAGACTTTATCAAAGCAAAATTTACCCATAATGGAATTAGACTCCACCACAGTGCACAAGTTTTATTCTTATATCAAGAAGGTTGAGTGACGTAATCTAATTGACGTAATTGCGTAGAGCTCGACTAAACTTAAAATTGAACGAAAGTCAAGTTAACAACATTGGTGATCAGAGGTAGAGATTGAATAAGGGGTGAGAGAAGAAAATAGTAGTACACTGATGAAAAGTCCCTTAAACTAGGACGACACAGCTGTCCAGTACTCCCAGCTGATTTTCCAATGGCTCCCTAACTAATGTGAGCTTATGATGAAATCCTCCAGTCCAATCAAACAAAATCCCTACAAAACCAATACTTGGAAAAACTTTAGAAACAAGCAATCCAGAAAAAGACGAAACAAATATTACGTATTTGGTGTTAAGATAGGTTAGGTCCAGTGTAGATTTAATGACTGAACAAAATTCCGCTTTTGTATGCAGAGTTCAGGTTTTAATATGCGAATTGCCATTGCTTCTGTGGTTTGAGGAAGTAGGATTCGTACTCGTTTAGTCAGATTCCCACGTATTCTGTAGATGACTTTGAAGCTACTTTGTAGGTTTGCTTAGTGCTCCGATTGGATCAGGTGTTTCAGAAAAGAGCTGAGAGCGGACCTTTTTAGGCCTTTATAAAAACATGACTATGGATAGGTGTTCGACGATACTTTTGGATAGCAAACGCTGGGTACGGACGACATACCTAGCTGCATAGGTGGAGCACATTCCTTTTATTGTGAAGAAAATTTACTGCATATATACATACGCGATTGAAGACCTTGAGAATGATGTAGCCAAAAAGGGCAACTCTTAGCTGAAAGCCTTTTCTTTTATATGACTCAATCAATTTCAAGCAAATATTCATTATTAGTAAAAAAAAGACAGTATGAAATGAATCCATATTAAATGAAGTTATGTTCCAGACAAAAGCTTAAGTTAGAGAACCACAGGAAAACCTGGGAGTACTGGACAACTGTTTCGTCCTAGTTTGGGACTCTTCAGCAGTACGCACCCATCGGGGTTCGAACCCAGGACCTTCTGGTTACAAGGTGAGCTCGTAGACCATTGAGCCACTGGGACCCGATCCGATGGTCCTTGAATTCTAACTTCTGCCAATTCACGATATAGCGCGACCACTTCGCAATGTCTTCTTCGATGAATTACTGCCTCATCTTCAACCTGCTGTACTCTACTGGTCACGGCTTCCCACTAGAACCCCAGGTTAACTACCTGGGTCAAACAAAATCCCTACAAAACCAATACTTGAAAATTAATCTGATGCTCACTAGTGACTGGCCTATTCAGGTAGTTAACCTGGGGTTCTAGTGGGAAGCCGTGACCAGTAGGGTACAGCAGGTTGAAGATGAGGCAGTAACTCATCGAAGAAGACATTGCGAAGTGGTCGCGCTATATCGTGAATTGGCAGAAGTTAGAATTCAAGGACCATCGGATCGGGTCCCAGTGGCTCAATGGTCTACGAGCTCACCTTGTAACCAGAAGGTCCTGGGTTCGAACCCCTGTGTGTGCGTACTGCTGAAGAGTCCCAAACTAGGACGAAACAGTTGTCCAGTACTCCCATGTTTTCCTGTGGTTCTCTAACTGATGTCAGCTCATGATGAAATCCTCCATGCAATCAAACAAAATCCCTACAAAACCAATACTTGAAAAGCTTAAGTGTCTCACAATAATTTGTTTATGAGATATATCACACAGTTAAACAGTATTATTTACTGAATGACGTTTCGAACACAATATATTAATGATAACCATATCAATTGTGATATGATATGTGAAGACAAGAGTAAGACAAGGCTTCCTATTGTCAACGACGATAAATCTAACTGTGGTAAGATGCACTATGCGTCAGATTATTGGCAGCTAGAAAACCGGAATACGTTGAGTTGACAAGAAGAATATAGAAAAGATTAATGTCTGCCACACAAACTCTAGGGCCTACAGGTGAAAACTGACAAGCTGATACCACACTCAGGAACGGAAGGCAGAACTTCACGTGAAGAGAATAAGAACGAGGTGACGAGAATAACCAACTAACAACAGCAAGTTTCAATCAGTAATAACGGAAGAAATTTCGAAGAAGTCACTTGCTTCAATTATCTTGGAAGTATCACACCAACCACAGGTGACAGAACGGATGAGGACATCAAAACCAGACAGCATCAGAAAACCAAGGCAGGAATTCATCACTCGAATTAGTCTGCAAACATTCTCCACTCAGCATTAACAATTAAATTCGACTTTTCAACACCAATGTTAAGTCAGAAACTTGACGTGCGCGTCACCTAAAGCATTTCGATCAGGCTACTATATACTTTTATTAACATCTGCCTTCCCGTGGCTACATGTTGAAGATCAGATGACCAGAAGTAGTTAGCAGCAAAAAAAACTCTGTGAACAATGCAATCAAGCATCTATTCTCCAACAAATGTGTGGAAGAAACTTGAGATGGATCGAACACGCACCAATGAGAAGACTGTTGGGCGAAATCTCACACCAGAACAAACCTCGAATAGAAACCGAATAGGAAACCACGAGTCGAGCATCCGAGGTATAGTAAGAAGGAGATGAGTGACTATGGGCAATCATCAGGGCAGCTAGAGAGGAATGTGCTGATGAAGCACAATGTCCCACACGGAACCCATAGGAATAATAAATAAAACAAGAGTACTGTATCCAAGTTCTACATAGATATTAGCTCAGGTGTCTGTTTATTCTCCTCTCCACGAAATATACCAGCTAAGAATGTAACTCATCATTATATGCACATAAGATACACATTATGTTTGTGCATCGGTGGTTCAGTGGTAGAATGCCCGCCAACTACACACATCGCCATAGATTCGATTCCCGGAAGATATATAACTAAACACAACGTAGTCTACTGGTCAATATTAAGTCTGGAATAGAAGGAAAGGTCAGTCGGCAGGTTAAAATACACTATCGCTAGTAAAATTTCAAAAATCCAAACCCTATGATTTCGTGGAACGCGAAGCACTGATAACTTACCTGGTTGATTCGATTTTCTCTTCTCTTGATATCCCTTTTTAAACAAAGATATATGAAAGACAAAGCAGAAATTATTCAATGATTGGATTTATCGGTGGATCATGTAATCAATAAACACAGTGGAATCAAATATAAAAACCGTTATCAGTCACAAAAAGTTGCAAGGAATGACGTAATCGAACTGTCACTGTCCACACAAAAGGAGTTAATTCCAGTCAATTAATTGCCTGAGAATTTGAATTCTTATAGAAAGAATTATTTTTTTATATTTTTCTGACTTCTGTGTCTTCTTTATCACTTGGACTTACTGCTGAGTTATAATCGTGATAAATATATTCAGTGTCTTCAAAATTTTATGTGCAGTTTTGGCTAGGCAACACATTAGATAGAGAAATATGTGGCAAACAGTTTAAGAAGTAAATCAGCTATAGAGATGAATAACTTTGCTTGGCAGCCAAATAATATAAACTTGTGTCAATCACGTAATATGAAACCTATAACAAATTAGACACTGGCAATATTTCGATCTCGAATTTGTCTGAAATTAAAAGCAATTTAGCGAAGAAAATTTCCCTTATCCACCAAGTCATCTTCAAAGGTCGTAGAGAGGTATTTACATTTGCCAAAACATATATAGTCTAATCGTTAGTAATGGGGGAGTGATGTAATTGATTCAACCACTCAGAAGCGGTCTTCAAAGGTAAAATATTATGTAATAGTCAACGATATCACGGGAGCAAAAGTTTGAAATTTGACCAAGTGAAAACTGTTATTCAATGAGAAGCAAGGGAGTTGAGTGTCCACTTCAAAAGTGTTCAGAAATAACTTAGTAAAATACACGCAAGAAACATGTCGCAGTGATAATAGTAAATTCATTGCTAAAATTATAGGCAGACTAGTGCAACAGGGTTTAAGGCCATGGAGGCACAAGTGACTAAAGCAACTTTCCTAAAAAGCAATCGTATTCACGCATTGTTAGTGCCTCCGCCATACACAAACACCGGAAAACAACACCCCGTATATTATCGGGTCTTCAAAGCCACATAATTTAACAGACGAATCTGGAAGTGCTTGGCGACGTGCTCAAGAATCAAGCTGGTAGATATCCATGATTCTGCTCCTGACAATCACGTCGGATAGTGTTTACAGAGGCGTTCCGAAAGCCTACGACTTATGCTGCCAACATAACCAGCAGCTCATGAGCAGGTGGATTTATAAACCCACATTGGAGCGACAAGAAAGCCGGAGATTCCCCCTTCACACATCCATCGTTCATTTGGGGACTGTGGAAATTAGTCCGTAGCTGAGATGACAAAGATGATTCTTCCAGCGATATGGATGAGTGGTTTGTCGGATTATCACGTGAGGCATCACAATTATTTCAACACACACAAACATATCAAGGACCTTGATATGATTATGAGCAATAAATTGTGCTCGAAACGTCATCAGTAAACATTACTGTATAACGCTGTGAGACTTTATCAAAACAAAATTTACAAACAGTAGTTTCCTACACACAGCTCAAATTCTTTGAGACTTGTATTATCCTTTCAAATATTCTTCAATAGACCCTTAAGGATATCCATTTTAAACAAACCTTCCAGAAAACACTACAGATATTTGATTCAATTTGAATACTAGTTAAAGGAATACTGGACTAATTGGAAGCGTATATTTCCTGTGTGGCAGGAAAACACGAAAAAGCATCAGCTGCCCTGGAACTGTTCCATAATTCGAGGTTTGTATCTTTACATCGTTTCCTTGTGGTCTTCGAAATTTCTCTGCTCGTCTTCTGACAATTCGAATAGCGTATGTGCTCTCAACAGAATGTTTCTTCCCATTTCCGGTGGTCGAAGTTTTATCTCACCAGTCATATTAGGCATCTGGGCGAGTGAATATGATTGCGACACATACATTCCCACCACACTCTGCAATATTATTTCTTAAATATACAGCTCTTGTCCGCAGGAATTGTGCTGATATTTTGTGTTATCCTCTTACTAACATTTTTAATGCTTCTTTTTCCGGTAAAGTTCTACCCTATACCAAAAGCATCTTCTGGTTCTGATATTAAATTTCGGCCTATTGCAATTACTTCCCCCTTTTTAAAATTGATGGAAAAATTACTTTTACTTCGTCTTGAACCCGCTTTGAAACCTTTTAATGATCCTAAACAATTTGCATACAAACATGGTAGAAGTACCTTGGATGCTGCGGTTGTCTTATATCACAATGTTGTCTCTTGTTTAGACAAAGGTGCTAAATATGTTCGTAGTGCTTTCTTAGACTACACATCTGCTTTTGACTCTGTACCTAGGGGCCTTTTGCTAAATAAGCTATCGTTGACACAAACAGGATCCTGGGCAAAGAGTTGGTTGCATTCCTATTTTTCTGATAGAATGCAGTATACTGTGTATAACGGCAAATCTTCTTCTACCTCGCTTACAAAATCCGGTGTTCCACAAGGTGCTGTCCTCTCTCCTTTTCTTTTCCATTTCTTCCTACATGGCCTGCTTCATTCAAACGAAACTAACTTTGTCAAATATGCAGATGATCTGACTGTATCACTGCCTATCACTTCTGAGTCTGACAGCTCCAAACTTAATAGATTTCTGTTGGACATCAACAAGTGGTCCAAGTCAAATGGTCTTATATTAAATCCTTCCAAATGTCAGGCACTTGACTTTACTTTCAAGCATTGAAGTGACTTACTTGAACTAGTTAGTTCGCATGATCCCTGCAGCAAAGATGGCACGGAAATTGAAAACAAATCAAGCATTAAATACCTTGGATTAGTTCTTTCCTCTGACCTTTCATGGTCATCCCATATCTTATCTATCTCTAAGAAAATGTTTCGTCTTACCTTCTACATTAAAAAATTAAGACAATCAGGTATCAACCAACCTTTAGTTTTGCAATTTTGAAACTCCTGTATTTTACCTATTGTACTCTATTGCTCTCCATTAATCTTTCCTGGGCTTCTCAAAGAAGATTATATCATATTACGAAGAGTATTAAATGCTGTGAGTAGAGCTTGTGGTCTGCCACTGCATGAGCTCGCTAATACTATAGTCGAGAGGCATATAAATCCCTGTACGAAATGGGCAAAGGCTATACACTCAGACCCTCTGCACCCCCTTTATTCACACCTGTCCCCATGTATCTCATCAGGTAGGACGAGAAGTCAATATAAAAAGTTATATGCTCGTACCACTAGGTATAGAAATTCTACAATACCCTATTTAGCCCGTACTTTATGTGACGAAGACTCTGTTAGACGTGAAACTTACAAGTTACTATGTAATTAGCACAGTAAATCGACCCTTTCATTGTTCATCTTTCTATATTTTATGGCCTCACACTTTCTATCGTTTAATTGTTACTCTGCCATTTTATTTTAGTTGGTATTACTATCATTACTACAATTTTGTATTTTATGCATATTTTTCTCCGTATGGCATACAGTATTTTGCTATGTAGCCGTTATAACAATCGTTTTATTACTGTTATGTAATGTGTATTTTTAATTTTTTTGTCGTTTTTGAGTAAATTAGATGCAATATTAAACTGAAATGCTGAAAATTCCTTGCTGTATCATTAGTGCTGTTTTTGGAATAAAACAAAAATTTATTTATTTATTTATTTAAAAAATTGATCCTGATGTTCGCTATGACAAGCCCGACAGAAAAGAAAACTTTTGGACTATTACACGGTTCTTGCTCTGTTTCAAGTAACTAGAACAACCCATTGAGTCATGAATAAGATATGACACTATCCAGAGAATAAAATTTCCTTTATCTACCACGTCATCCACAAAGGCCGTACAGTCTTATTTATACTTACCGAAATAATTTAGTAGTCTATAAATGAGTAAAAGAAACCACTTCTGGGTAATTGTGTGCGTTGCCAACCCCACTCCTTATCACTCAATAATAGATTACTATGGGTTTTACATTAATGTGAGCACATTTGCACGGTTTGTACAGATAAGGTCGTCGACAAAGGAAATTTCCTTTTCTGAATTGTGTTCTGTTTCCTCCAAGTAACTTAGAATTCGTTATACTTTCATTCAATAACGATTCTTGTATATGCACCTACGTCTAAGCAATATACATATATATATATATATATATATATATACATATATATATATATATATCTGCATTAGCTTTTCAGACAATTGGTAATTCCATATTTCTAATTTTTTGATATACGGAATTAACGATTAGGGAAACGCTCAGGAAGTCAACCCTACACAAACTCAAACACATTCGAAAATATCACACAACGGAACACGGTGTGATATATGGAGCGAGATTTACTACCTCCAATAGAATAAATCACATCTGAACGGCGAATTTTTCAGTACGGACCACAGAACACTATTATTCAGATATGTAGTAGATTCTTATCTAGTGGACCAGAAAGGGTGCAGTCTAGACGGAAATTCAATTATAAAATGAATCTACAGTGGACTGAACGCCACTTTTATTTTTGGCATACTTACGATCGAAGTTAGAACATTCTGCCCCGTTGACGCCTGTGAGCGTTTATTAGCGTAGTGTTGTTCATATTCCTGACCATGGTTTACTGAATATCCTTCATAACTTAAGATTCTTAGTTAGTGAGAAATGCTGGAAGTACCTTTTTGATGCTTTGTGAATGGCGGTTAACCAATTTTGGAAAGAATTTCCTGTTTCGGGCTTCAGATAATATACAGCTCCGGGATGTTCTGTGATCTAAACCAGCTGTAGAAGAATAGTTCCTTACTGTAATCCAAGGAGTATCATCATCGGGGTATGAAATAGAAACATCTGAATGCCTGAGGAAAATCTTAAGGCAACTATTACGGTTAGTGTGATCTTATAGTTTGAAAATAATTTCGGTGAATTTACCTGGGAATATGAACAGGCTGTCAGACTTAACGTATGCCCAGCGCTTTAGAATATAGCTTTTTTGCTTATGTCTTTGTAATTGAAAGACGAAACCATGAATAAGAACAAGGTCCATATGTTAACCTATGTTGAACACCGCGGTCGTTACATATTTTAGTTGACCTTTACTAAAATAAAGCCACCATTAGCTTAAACAAAGAGGTTTGGATCAGACCTCTGAGTCTTATCTGGAGATAGAAGGCTTGAAACCAACGTCAACCCTTCTCTACTAGGTAGCTGTGATTTTCTAATGTCTTCTTGGACCACTTGATTGAGAGCACAAACAATGCTGCCTACATGATTCAATTAGAAGGAGAACCGGTTCTCCACAACGAATTAGTTCTCCTTCTGTCTTTGAACACTTCCGCTATGTCCTCTGAGATATTCTGGCCTTGTGGAAACGAAAATAGGTGTCTGTGGTCCACAGACATTCCTTATTACTTCAAAAATCATGGTTAGATCAGTATGTTTGCGTTTTTATGAGGAGAGGCTGTTCACACACTTAGGTTGTTCCTCATGTGACAGACTACCCATACTTGGAGTTATAAGTGAAGCTTTTCCCTGAGCTCTTTCTAGAATATGCGAACCTGAATACGGTGTTTTAGTATTTACCTTATTAGAGGTGTGCGTGAAACGGTGAATATTTCGCCAGCGGTTCTAGTAAAGGCAGTGCGTATTGGACATGAAAATCTAAAAGTAAGAGCTACAACTGGGCAACAGTGAGCCGAGGCTTTTAGGTTATCACTTGCTGTGAACTGAAGGGAGTTGTATTCCCGCTATGCCGTACGCACTGGCACTTGCGTGCTCGGTGTTTATGATTGATTACTTCACCACGTTGTTGGAAAACGTTTATTCTTCAGATCAACCTGATAATTTGTCGGGATCCGTTTGCAGCGTAAACATGTGACTTTCATCCTTCAACTCCCCTTAAATGTTAGGCCATCTATGTGAACAAGTACAGAACATTTGATCAGCTCAGGTATTTCGTTAAATAAATAAGAGGTGGTTGATCACATTACCTTTTAGCTCACGACTATGTACCATTGTCCAGGAAGGCAGTTTCCAGTTAAACCTGACCCTTTTTCTCTCATTTACGGGTAACACTTGATATAGTCCTGTGTATTGCTCTTGATTCCAAAGCGTAGGACCCCAGTTCTGAAATTTCGTTTTTATTGGCATGCAATTGTCTTCAAATCACCTCTTATTTATGGAAGTGCACCGAGTATTCGTCGTTCTATCTACTTCTGTCCTCTCCGTAAATGCTAAATGATCGGCACCGTCTCGTCACATGTATTTGGGCTTGTCGGGATTCAATAGCCTCGGTTTGTGAAGAAAGTATAGCAATTATGTCAAACTCTGACCTTCATTGCATTAATTTTCAGTAATGCCGAAATGAGTATTAAGCTTGCTGTACTTGTCATGCTTGCCATCATAAAACATCATATCAATATTTAACATGCAGGCACTGATAGTGATGTGTGTCGACAACTCCCTTAAATCGGATACAATTCACTACTCGCGTTCCCAGGACTTTCACCACAACCATCCAACTCACAGGCTAGTTCTGTGCTCAATAGTTAGAATTCTGCATCCATTCCAACAATAATAATAATAATAATAATAATTTATTTTCATATAAACATAAATTTACATGAAAATGCATGCCATTTTTACAGGCACGATCAAGGATGATATAATGTCAAATCTTAAATTGTCTACAAGTTAATAATGTTTCATCAGTTAAATATTTGATATATATATAAATACACATTGTCTGAACTAGGCTGTATAGTTATTGAATTGTACAATTGTCCTCCAGGTTGAGCGGGAAAATCGACTTCGTTTCGTTTTCATCCCGTGGTTGTAGGCATACGATAATCAACCAATATTGAGGTAAGTACAACGTTTACAAGGAATTGGAAGCTTTTTTAGAAAAATTAAAGTGCTGTGGTGTAACATTAAAGTGTAATAGATTAAGTGAGTGAAATATATCATTAATAAACACATTTATATAGAAAACAGAATGGGGAAGTAATTAATCCTTAGGCCGACAACGTTCATTTGCAATGTATAATGAAACCAATATATTTTATACTATCATGCGTTCACTTTTGGCTTTAATACAATTATTTTCAAGCCAGTTGTCTTTATTTCATGTCTTTTTTTCTATTTGGTACACAACCGTACCCTCCAGAGAATAGGAATAGAATAAGTCGAATCAAATTCATAAAGAGCTATAAAATGTTAGGTTTAATGGAATATAATGAGAATCAAGTAAAGACGTTATTAGAAAATAAGTGAGACAAGATATTGTGAAGTGGTATTTAAAGATCTGACAATGGATAGCAAGTTAATTCATAAGATGCCCCATAAATCTGTGCAGATCCCACGTGGTCGCATCTCAACAATAGGCTGAGCGAATGGTATATATTTAAAGGTAGAAGCATTATCTGTCAAGGCGTTCACTATTATCTTTTTCAAGATAAAGATCTAAGCCCTCATAAAAATCAGAAATATCTCGAGCCTTTAATTTGTATATTGCTGTTCCTGCAGAATGGGGCGATTCACCTTAGTGACCACCACCATATCTACTGATCAGCTAACGCCACCCTCCCACAAGGTGGGCCGGCTGGACAAAAGCAGTCAAGGCACTTTAACCAGTGGCCAATAACTGGCATTGAAGAAAGAGAACTGTAGCCAAGAACGAAACAGCCAAACAAAAACCCATTTTGTTCCAAGAAGAGTTATACTGAAAGCAGTAAAAACGTTCTGTTTAGAGTTTATACCAAGGAATTACGTTGCAATCCTTCAATGTTGCTGTTACCATGTGTTCAAACACAAAGGCTGTGATGACTGAACTAAATCCCTGACAGTTAACTAAGATGTGAGTTAAACAAAATTCAGAAGCCTAAGATGAACAACAAAATTGTCCAACTCATTAAAGAATGAAAAATCATGCGCGGTGGTGCACTCTGAGATGAAACAATATCATGAGTGCAAAGAAACTGCCTCATACTTATCCGAAAAACGTGTAATTTAATCAAATGCAAATTTGATGATGTCCCCGGCCTAAATAGCAAAAAATATCTAATTACATTTTACTGTTATTAGCCAGGTTTACATATTATTCACATAACAGATCTCCCTAAATCCCGCCAAATATTGAAACGAATAATTTGTACGTCGCCTAAATCGTTCTCTTCTTAGAATTATATTGACAGCTGCTCTACACAATCCATTATATGAACGATTTCTTTGAGAGCAAATTGTTGTGTAATCGTTGCCAATTTTCTGTTATGTACTGCTGAGTGGTTAATTGTCCTGACGCGAAAGGTGGAAAATCAGAAGACCACCTCGTTCACGATGATACTTGCATTTTCCAAACAAGGAAAATAAATGTGACACAAGTGTATGAGTGAAAGGGTACGTACTGCACGAAATGTGTGAACAAGTGTATGTAAAAGTATACAATGCAAAAGTAACATAACATAAGATAAGCTTTATCGCAAATCAGTACTTGTGATACAGAATGGAATTCTCAGCATTTTACTACAATATTGCATCCAGTTTTTTACATTAACAATAAATAAAGTTCTACATAGATTAAAGTTATCTCAACAACATATTAGTATGTCGGTAGCAAAGCCAAAATTAAAGTGTTTGAAGGTGTTAGAAAAGTAGATACTACTAGCATATTTACTGGCGTAAGCGATAGCAAAATGTTCGAGATGTACAGAGTGTGAAAGAACGAACAAGAATGTTTTAAGTAGAGTTTGCAAGGAAGAGAGAAACAAAACAGCACATAACAAAAATAAATACAGAATGAAGAGCGAGAAAACGTTGTACCTATAAATGATGTGAGTTGGAAAGACAAGATCCATTGGTTCTACTGACTATTTAATAAGTTAAAGGTTTCATGCCTGATGCATTCTTTATCGCACAGAACACGAGCTAAGTAGGGTATGGATGAGTTTTTGTACTTACTAGTGCGGGCATATAGTTTCCTATATAGGCTTCTTGTTTTCCCTGAAGAGATACATGGGGAGAGTTGTGAATGTAGAGGGTGTTGTGAGTCAGATAAAATGGATTTCGCCCATTTTTCACATGAGTCCATATGCCTGTCCACCAGAATATTAACTAGCTGGCTAAGTGGCAAGCTGCTTACCCTGCTGACAACCTTTAACATCCTACGTAATAAGGTATAGTCTTTCTTCAATAGCCCAGGAAAGACTAAGGGGGAGCAATAGAGAATAATAGGCAGAATACGGGAGTTAACAAATTGTAGGAGTAAGGGTTGGGTTACACCAGAATGTCTTAACTTCTTGATGTAGAAGGTAAGACGGTATATTTTCTTGGAAATCGTCAAGATATGAGACGACCAGGAAAGATCAGAAGATAGAGTGACGCCTAGGTATTTAATTTCCGACTTGGTTTCTATTTCACTGCCATCTATGTTGCACACCTCGTGAGTGCTAACCAGTTTGTTTAGGTCAGATTTATGCCTAAGGGTGAAATTAACTGTTTGGCATTTGGAGGGGTTTAAGGTTAGACCGTTTTCCTTGGACCATTGGCTAATTTCCGATAAGAAGCCATTTAGTTTAGAGCAGTCACTTTGACATTTGACAGGTAAAGACACAGTTAGGTCATCAGCATATTTGACAAAGTTAATGTCATTTGAAGACGGTAGGTCATGTAGAAAGAAAGAAAAGAGAAGTGGGGAGAGTACAGCACCTTGGGGGACACCAGCTTCTGTGAGCACAGCAGAGGAGGATTGGCCTTTGTATACGGTGTACTGCATTCTGTTTGAAAAGTAGGAATGCAACCAGTTAGTGACCCAGGACTCGGTTTGTGTCATGGAGAGCTTATTTAGCAAGAGACTTCTAGGTACAGAGTCGAAAGCAGAAGTAAAGTCAAGAAACGTGCAGCGGACATATTTGGCACCTTTGTCTAATGATGAGATAATACTGTTGTGTAAGACGGCTGCAGCGTCTAAAGTACTCCTACCCTGTCTGTAGGCAAATTGTTTGGGGTCTTCGAAGCTTTTAAGGGAGGGTTCGAGTTTAAGAAGTACTAGTTTTTCCATGAGCTTTAGAAACGGGGAAGTGATGGCGATGGGTCTGAACT